CTTGATTTAAGAATTTTTAGATATTTTGGCTGGAAACAAGACAAAAGATCTAAGCTAGAAAAGCAGAAAAGCAAAGTTATTTTATGAAAAAGAGTTCTGATTTTTTTTTTTACATAGATGATTTGTTTCATGTCCTTTGACGTTATAAATGATATGCATAATCCTATAATATAATTCCCATCCCATTTTTTCACAAACACATGGTTTCTGAAAGACCCGTAAATAAGCTACACTGAAGTCCAGATACACTTGGATCCAAAAATCTGACACGTCTAGTAAAATTAATTTATACTAATTTAATTATTTTTTTAAATGTGAGCAATGTGAGCAAAAATCTTCATTGTAAAAAAAAAGGATCCCACTGTTATAATATGGTCAGTTTGCTTTTTATAGTATAAAGGTTAGTCATTAAGTATTACTGTCCAGCTTCACTGTAATAACTTGCATGAGGATGGGTTAGACATTTGCGTTTCAATTGAGATAAGGCTGGCTTCACAAACAAATGTCAGTTTGCATTATGCACATTTTCCTTTACAGTATGTCAGTTAAAGAGATTGTGTTGATTAATTTTAAGTACATACAGAAGTCTTCTGCTGTCCACAATACATGAGGGACAGTGGCAGCAGATGTAGAATTCTGATTCAGACTGAGGGAGTTCACATATTTATGCATATAAAGTGTTCTTTACTTATTCTTTGTCATTCCTGTGTATTGCAGGAAGATGTGGCTTTGCATGAGCTGGACGATGGAAATGAGCCTTTACTTCCATCACAGGTATGAAAAGAAACCATGCCACATGTGTTTTTGTGCATTTGTTGACCAACTGGCTTCAATACAACAGTCACCACACACAGTGATATTTTTACATGAGCACATGTTCAGTTATGATAAGTAGTACACATGCAAAGCACATGATAAAATTACCACACTATGGTCATAATGCCACATTCACATCACCACTTGCCTTGCATGACCTAAACTTCCTGAGAAAACCAAGTGACAGTCACAGACACAAATACCGACACAAAACCAACAGTCGGCAATAATACAGTCATCTGATCGATAATTGATATTCCCAGAAAAATAGCATGTCTGCTGCTAGATTCTCTCTGTCTTAACCTAGTTGTTTCTGCTTTTGTTTCATTCAGCGTAACTTGTACCTTCCTCGATTATATGACTATGTCCTGGTGGCTGATAAAGTGGAGGACATGGAGGACCGAATCTTCAAGAAGCAGGATGCCTTTATCTGCGAACTGAAACAGAAGAACATTAAAGTGACTGTATGTTATGTCACCGTCACATACATTAGTGTTGTGTCTTTCAGTTAAATTTTTTCAGCTTTTAAAATGTTCTTACTTAAGGCTCTCATTTCTGTTGAACAGAGAATTGAACATGCTGGAAAGGTGTTCTTCGGTGTCTGTGCACCTGAGGAGATTTTTGCAAAGTACAAGTACTTACTAAAGGTGTCTGATGCCTGTAACTGGAGTGGAGAGCAAAAGTGTGACTTGTCCGTCTCATTGTGCACCAGGTGAGGGTCACAGTAATTATGCATTTGAAATCTGTTGTTCCATTCAAAGCTTTTGTAATGAGTTTCTATTTCCATGTTTCATAGAATCAGGATTGTCCACTTTGTCTTGAACAATACCTTTATTGGATCAGGAGGTACATTTTTCCTCTTTCTGTCTTTCATTTTCACTTTCAGTTCATCTTTTTTTCCCCCATTGTTGTCTTGTCTCATTCTGAGCCTGAAACTAAGAAT